ACGATATAAGGCCACCTCTACACCCACTTATTTGAACGCTGACATAGACACAGACACGAAACTCACGTGCTCACACATATATACTAATACACACATACATGTAAACACACACTTATACACACACACACACACACACACACACATATACACACACACAACCACATACACACACACACACACACACACACACACTCACACACACACTCACACACACACTCGGCCCACTGTGCCCGACATCCTTATCGCTGACACTGGGGCCGTTTCTACACTCCCTTCTTTGTACGCTGCCACAGACATAGACAAAACACTAACTTGCTCTCAAACATACGCACACATACATTCATACATACGCACAAATAGATCTACATATAAACATATAAACGCATACTCTCTGACACGCACAAACATATATACACTCTCATACACTTATAGACACATATACGTTCACAAACATGTACTCACACCGTGCATTCACTCATACAAACGCATGCATACACATAATATATACAGACACTTATTCACAGATAATACTTCTTGTTACAGAGACCCAGGGTGTGTGTGTGTGTGTGTGTGTGTGTGTGTGTGTGTGTGTGTGTGTGTGTGCTCGCATGCATGCGCAGGTGTGTGTGCGCGTGCGTGTATGAGTGCACGCGCATGGGTGTGTATGTGTGTGAGTGTGTGCCGCTTACCGAGATGCGGGAGTAGACGTCCTGGAACATGGCGGGCACCACGTGTGTGTGTGTGTGTGTGTGTGTGTGTGTGTGTGTGTGTGTGTGTGTGTGTGTGTGTGCGTGTGTGTGTGTGTGTGTGTGTGTGTGTGTCGCTTACCGAGATGCGGGAGTAGACATCCTGGAACATGGCGGGCACCACGTGCTGTTTCTCCACAGCTTGAATCTGATCCCGCGTGGGCCAGATGTCTCGCAGGAACACCGGCTTGTTGTCTGCATCCACTCCTGAAGGGGACAGGGGGGGGGGGGAGGAGAACAATCCAGATAACATACACCTACTACTTTTAGTTTTAGTAAGAGTTTTACAGCGCTTACAACACAATTTTTTAAAAAGTAAACTACCGCATCCGATCCGGACATTGGGGATTGCCTTGTTAGTGAGACAACTTCCTGGGCCTTCAGCAAATTGTGGAAGGGTATCAACACAATAAGGTCACAAAAGTGATGAGGATTGGTAAAAGATCAAGAGGAAGGCCCCGTGGAACCCGGAGAAGCGTCATAGAGAAAGATGTACACTCTCTTTTTCTCTCACCCTCTCTTCCACTCTCTCTCTCTCTCTGCCACACTCTCTCTCCAAAATTTAGAGATTTCTACCTACAAATATTTTTTTAAAAAAAAATCTCCCACAACTGCGGCGACAGAATCCCTTACCTAAAGGCTGAACCTCAAAGTCGATGTTGACCGTCCCGGCGAGAGCGTACGCGATGACCAGAGGGGGCGACGCCAGGTAGTTGGCGCGGGTCAGCGGGTGGATGCGACCCTCAAAGTTCCTGTTGCCAGAGAGGACGCCACACACAACTAGGTCTCCCTGAAAGAGAGGAAAAAAGGGCAAATTTCAGCCTGTGTTTTCCCAGTGTTGTAAATTAATAATGACATTATGAACACAAAAGTATTTCTTAAAAATGAATAAACAAATAAACAAATAAATAAAATTAAATAAATAAAGGTGAGGGAGATTGAAAATGGGAGAGGGGGGGTAGGGGGGAGAGAGAGAGAGAAGAGGGAGGGAGAGAGAGAAAGAGGAGAGGGTTGTGTGTATCCAAAAGTGGGAGAGAGAGAGAGAGAGAGAGAAAAAGAGAGGAAGAGCGAGAAAAAGAGAGTGGAAGAGAGAAAGAGGGAGTGAGCAACAGAGAGAGAAAAACACAAGACAGACAAACAGAGAACGACAGACAAAAAGCGACCAAAAAAAACCCCCCACACCCCTCTCAGCATCTCTCACCTTCTCTATGGCTTGGCTGACCTCATCAGGCAGGGGTCCACTATTTCCAATACACGTCATGCACCCGTAGCCAACAATGTTGAACCTAGGAGGAAGGAAAGAAAGAATGAAAAAAAATCACTCTTCTTCATTCTTTTGCCTTTTCAACATTTTGCTCCATCATTTGTCACCTGTAATCTTTCATTTCTCTTTTTGGGACACCTGAATAGACATAAAGGTCTTGAACATCTAGCTCTCATTGGTAAAATTGAAGGCAAATGAGGCAGGGGTAGGCCCAGAGCAACCTATGTGGAGAACTTAAACAGATGGGTAATGGGGAAAGGTCAGGATAGCGTAGCTTTTTGAAGAGCATCCGAGCAAAGGAATTAAAGGAGAACCATGATCGCCGATGTCTGCCGCAGATCTGGCACTTCATGATGATGATGGTGACTCTACAGCAGACAGTCTTGGGGGGGGGTAGTTGTTTTAATAATCTGACAGTTATGAGAATAGAAAAAAACAATCAAGTGTGGGATTGAAGCAGGATTGACACCCGCCAACCACCCACACGTCAGCAGGGATGCCAAACGATTTTTAAAAAATTTAAAAAACCCTGAAAATGAGCGGAGCATCAAATCTCACCTAAATTAAACTGAACCTTGTAAACTTTTAAATGAGCAAACAAAAACATATTCTCTCTTACCTCTCCCCTATTCCAATGGATGAAAAAAACCCGGA